AAACCCCACGGCAACTAAAAAAACGCGCCGATATATATATATTTAATTTTAATTTGTTTTATTTGAATGCGGTGGTATTGCACGGGACGTTCCAACGCCATTCCCTACAGCGACGCCTGAGCCGGCAGCGCTCCGGGGCGGCCCCGCTCCCTCCTCCCGCAACGCGGGGCTGCCCCCGCCCGACACCCGCTGCCCGCTGTCCGAGCTGCCCCTCTGCTGGACGGCAGCTGCCACTGCAGGGAAAGAAACCTCCCAGCACCTCCCTCAGCCCGAAGTGATCGGGATGGGGACGGCGGGCTAGCAAAGGGAACAGAAACATGAAGTATTGGGTGCTTGAAGGCTTAGCAGTTAGCATTCGTTTTAAATAGCAAGCAAAATTAAAAAAAAAAAAAAAAAAAAAAATCCACATGCAATTTTCTCCCTCGAGATGGAAAAAAGTCTCATGCTTCACGTTATCTCATGTCTTTACTGTAATGTGTCTGTGTGGATATGCTCTACCCTACACTGGAGTAATGGTTGCAAAAGGTCTTGGATCAACAGATCGACCTACAACCTTTCCCATGGGCTGTTTCACACCATGAATTTACACTAAATGAATTCAAAGTCATTTTCTATTCAACACAGCAAGCACTGATGCTGCGATGAGCAGCGCAGGGAACTTACCTGCCCACAGACTACAGTTTGTAGCAGTTGCTCTACAGTGAGCTTGTGTGATCTTCCCACTTTTTACAAGAGCTCACTCAGCCCTCACAACTTTTAAGAGACAAAAAGGAACCAAGGCGTCTGAGAGCACTGGGCTGGTGCTTGGGCAGCCAGCACTCAGCTCCACTACCATGAAGTTCTTCCACAACGTGGCTCCATTGCCTGCTGTCCATATAACCCGGCACAACCCAGCCTCTAGCTTTGTCCTTCCTTCCAGCACAACCTTTGCTGGCAGCACAAGAAGCTTAGGAAAAGGAATGTATTGGGGTTTGCCTTTTTTTTTCTTTTTTTTTTCTTTTTTCTTTTTTTTTTTTTTCCTATACAATATCTACATTAGACAAACTAACTTTAATTTTGGGGTAGGGGTGTTCAGTAGCAAAAATAGTGATCGTGATCCACAACTGAGTCTCTATGAGTGGGTAGCAATTGATACACAGGTCTCCCTCTAATCCTTCATAGAAATGTTCTGTATCCAATTGTGAAACAGACTGTGGCTCTGATCTGCTTTGCACTGAATTCTGTCCCATTCTGCAGAAGCAACACCAACAAAAGTTAACTGTAAGACACCAGGCAGGAAGCACAGTCCATAGATCTGAACATTTCTTGCAATGTACATATGGTCATAAGGATTTTTGGGTGGTCCTGTGTAAAGCCGGGAGTTGGACTCGATGATCCTAACGGGTCCCTTCCAACTCAGAATATTCTATGATTCTATGAATGTGTATGTTTACCATCAAAGCTAAATTTACAGGATATTTGCTATTAAACTAATGCAAAGACTCCGGGTAAGAAACCATAGCATGAAATATCTGTTGCAACTATACATTATGAATTGGTCAGTTTTCAACAAAGATGCATTATATTTGTTTCAAGCAACAACTACTGGTATGTAGCAGAACGGTCAGTTGCCCACAGTTGAGTGAATAGCACTGAAACAACAAATGTGCCTTTGCTTTCTGAAATACTGTCCACAAACCACATTTCTGGTAAAAGGGAAAAGTTACAACAAAAAACAACAAGCAAACAATACTATCAAATCTACATTCAGACTTTAGAAGCCTTGCAAGAAAATTTAAGTGCAAATAGAGAAAAGATGCAAAATAATATTTTTTGCTAACCAGAATATAGTTTATAACCTCAGCCTCCCTGAACTACACTGAAGTCAGAGGAAAACAAGCCAGTCATTGATTCTTGATACAAACCTCTGCCTCCTTGCACACTTGTGCACTCTGTTAATATTTCAGACCTTTTATATCAATATATGGGCAAAATATAATAGAGTTGGAGATCTGTGAGGGGGAGGTTGAAGTGATTGGGAAGTAGTTGGGAAGGAGGAAGAACAGTGGAAAAGTCATCCCCTTCCATTTCTGCCTTTTCATTCCCTTTGAATACTGCAGCTGTTGACAAGTGAAAGTTGGAATCAGATTGTTGAAAGAGCACAAGGAGGAAAGCAGATGGTGGGAAGAAGGGGGTTGTCACAACTGCATACTGTTTATTAAATGGAAGAACGCTGTACATTCTCTCTCCGACTTTTAGCTCTGAAGAAAAAAAAAAAAGAAAGGAAAAAGGAAAATCCCAGTAACTATTTCCCCCAGAGCAGTAAATAATAAATTGGGTAGTGCAGCTGGAGAGGGGAGGTAGAAAAGTTGAAAAGAAGAGCAGACATGCCGCTTCCTGCAGCAGCGAGCTATCAGATGGCTCAGTCCTCCCCTGGAAACTCACCCTGAGATAAGTTAAAATTGATGGCAAAAACCTGGCCTGGACAGAGGAATCCGTGGCTGTTCCAGGCTCTCATCATCCCCACAGCTGCTGCAGCTCCGTTGGGATCGTGCCACCCAGAGGAGCAGATTGCTTTGTATCCCTCACATTTCTGCCACGCTAGGGCTGCTGTCATTGATACCAGGTAAGTTCATGCTACAGCTCTGATACAAATCAGACACCCATCAAATTTAGTAGAACCCATGTGAGTCTTCAGGCTGCAGGAGTGTAAGTTAGAACAGTAAAAACAGATATACAGTACAAGGATTTTGTACAGAAAGGGAGTTACTTTTATTTGAAAACAAACTACCACCCTGTTCCCAGTCTTGTATTGCCTCCTGCTGACAATGGTTTCTGAACAGTACAACTGTAGACTGTCCCAGATGGAAGAGAAATTCAGAATACCTTAGCTAGATTAGCTTCCCAACCTATCTGACTACACAGTGTAGAAAAGAAGTCCCACAGCAGGAATGAGTGACCAGAAAAGCCCAGCAGGTGCACTACCACCACTTGTGCAGTGTGAGGCATCTAAAATCATTCACTTCAAAACCACACTGTGCGTGTTTGCACACTGTGTCAAGAAGCACAGACCTTGTCAGGAGACTGCCGATAACCTATGGGACATTCAGCAATTTGCTAATGACGCTTTTATACTGCACACACACACACACACTTAGAGTCGTTTCAATACAACATCACTTGTTATTTTGGAGAAAAGGCTGACCCCTACCTCGTCACAACCTCCTTTCAGGCAGCTGTAGAGAGCAATAATGTCTCCCCCGAGTCTCCTCCAGACTGAACAATCCCAGCTCCCTCAGCTGCTCCCCATAAGACTTGTGCTCCAGACCCCTCACAGCCGCATTGCCCTCCTCTGGACACACTCCAGGGCCTCGATGCCTTTCTTGCAGTGATGGGCCGGGTTATACGTCTGCTGCACTTTCAGCCAGATTCCTGCCATGTGCTCATGAGTGAGCCTTCAGTCCAGATTATGGATCCCACCCAGCCTGGCTCTCCAAATCCATCTGGCGCAGAGACAGTTCTGTTGCACCACTGAGCTATGCAGAAGTACACAGGCAGTAGGTTTATTCCTTTCTTGTCACCTCTCTCTGTTCAAAAATCAAACTGGATATTTTAAAATACCTGGAGCTTAAGTGAGCCTGTTTGACTTTATCCTCAACACCGTGAAGGAAACACCTCACACAAGCAGTATCATTTCAGCTGGTAGGAAGCAAATGCTAAATAAAAGACCATGAGTTCTGCTGTCTCTCATGTGAAATTCAAATCCCCAATTTAGTCACAAAAGTAGTAGACTAATACATTTCTACAGCAAAATTCAGAGCTGGGTCATAAAAGCAGAAATGTAGAAAGTATTCAGTTGCACAGATCATTTTCTCTTAGAGAGGAAAAGAGCAGAGGCAGAAGAACGAGTCCAGAGAGAGGAGAGCATAAGGCAAGTACAGAAGTGGCAGGCTTGATTAAGATGAAAGACTATGGTCGTGCACCTAGAAAAACAAAATAAACCAGCCTGGCCATGAACAAAGTCATACATTTAATAGAAGCACTTTGTCAGTTTGATCATCTCCACTCAGGAAAAATAGTGGATGAAGCCACACAAACGGTACCTCAACAGACAGCACCCTGCAGGACTGGTAATGTACTTACTTGCAACCTTGAAATGAGAGACTTTTTAAAAATAGGTTTTCTGGTAACTAATTCTTTGATCTCTCGTCATGTTGTTGCCAAGTGACACGCAACCAGCTGTAGCCACTCACACATAAGTGGCATCTGCTACACTATCATGTCTCCTATGCCCACACTGTAAAGCATGATAAATTAGTGCCATTTTAAAAGAAGTATAAAGCTATTGGCAATACATAAAGTAAATTCACATTTACTTCAAAAGGAACTTGGATAACATCTTAAATAAAACTTTTTCCTCAATCTGTACATCTGCATATGCTCAGATTAAAAGAAGCAAATGTAGTTTTGAAGAACCATTATGCTGTTCCTACAGTCAGGTGAATGAGGTAGTGAAGAACTTCATTTCAACAGCTTTCTCCTTGGTCATGTTGACATCTTTTGAGTTTTACTTACAGAAAATCTCATGAAGCTGGGGTTGATTTCAGTGTGTAATCCCTTAAATTACATGTTATGTGCTCATTTTCATTAATTACCAAATGTTAAAGACAACACAGATTAGCAAGACGAGTCATTCTACAGAAAAATTTAAAGGATGCACTGAATTTACAGACTCCTTTGGTAAAATTTACTATAGAAGAGATATACTGACAAAGTACAGGATGGCTTACGCAGCATCCACAAAATAAAACATGAACAACCCCCTCTCCATCCTCCCTCCCCCAAAGAAAATTGATGAGCATTCCATCCATTCAAAGGCACTAAGCTTGCTTTTCTGCTGTTTGTTTGTTAAGTTTGGCAGATAGCGACTTGCTACTGCTTTCATCATTTGCTGGCCAAGCAATCTCTTCAAAGGTTTACTTAACACAATAAATCATACACCGTGGTCAAGCACAAAAATATACGTAGCTGGTACAGAGTATTTATTTTGAAAAGTATAATATTCACAACCTCACAAAATTTGAATCTACCAGGCTAGGCCTTTGGCTAACTTTGATTTTTTCTTTCCTTTTAAGCGCTGTGCCTTAAGCTTCTTTCTCTGCCTGGAATTCATCCATATTGGGTACTGTCCATGTTGGTCTAGGAGAGTTTTTTTATTTCTTTTATTATCTATGTCCATTTTGCAGTCATCTGAAAAAGAAAGGCATTTATAGTCAGTAAAAAGCATGAAAAGCTTCACAGAAGCTACTTTCTTCCAAGATTCACAAACATGATGAGATCTCCATAAACAACAGTATTTGTACAGGAAGAGCAGAAGGCTTCATACATTGAAAGCCCTTTGCAAACCAATATAACTGCAACCCAGGAACTTCAACGGCTGATAGTAAATACGAAGAATTTCTCCTAAAGGCCCACAGCTGGGCAAAGCAAACTTATTCTACAGTCTGCCTTATGTTCTAATATTGCATCTAAAAACATTGCCTGTGGTCTCCACCATAAGCTACAAGCTTAGAGGAAACCAGTGGTTACTACAACATAAGTACAATTAAACGCTTTGAAGTATAATGCTTAAGATCCAAGAAAGTTCTATAAAATTAAATTGAGTGATAAAGACAGATGAAGAGGTGGCTGTCTTAGTGAAACAACCAGGCTACAAGGGGAACATCTTGTTAAGTACAGATTTGAACAGCCCTATATTATTTACTTTCAAACTTGGCTCCAAGTTTTCCACGTACAACTCTAAAAGCTTTATCAGAAGCTTAACTGAGTGGAAGAAGATTTTTTTAATGTTGTGTTTGTTTAATGTTGGAAAATAAAGTTCACGAGGAAAAGGCCAACATACTGCTTCAGTAGTTGAAGAATGCTGACAGTCTACAGGGATCTGCACCACAGAGGTGTGTTTAGGTGCCCTAAAGCTGGGATAGGAATACACGTATCCTGCAGAAAACCAGCACAGGGGGCTACTGTCTGCAAAGGTGGGCACAAAAAGGGCCCAGTCCCAAAGACTTCTCAAGACATCAAAGAAACACAAAGTCTTCATAACAGCATGGTTTTCCAAGTCTCATAGCTGGTCTGTCCCAGACCAAAGATCCAGATGTTGTGAGCAACAGCTAAAATATGGAGGGGAGAAAAGTTTCCACAGACCTGGAGAATGCAGAAACAGGCAATGAGAACTGCTACTGCTCACATACACTGCTATTGCTTGGCAGTGCAGAGCTATAGCATCACTTTTTTTTTATTACTACTTTTCTGAAAGAGTGGTCAGGCACTGGAATGGGCTGCCCAGGGAGGTAGTGGAGTCACTGACCCTGGAGGTGTTCAAGGAACATTTGGATTTTGTGTTGAGGGACATGGTTTAGTAATTGGTGGATGGTCGGACTGGATGATACTGTAGGTCTTTTCCAACCTTGGTGTTTCTGTGGGTTTGTTTTTTCCTCTAGTTACAACAGGAAAAAGAAAATACCCATAGTACCACCCATAGTACCAAGCAGTACACAAGTAACATCTTGTAAAAATCTGCTGCATGTAAGTCAAGGAATAAACCAGAGCTATTTGATATCCAAACTTTCCAAAAAAAGTAACAACCACAGCAATAAAGCTACAAAATAGCTTGTTTATAATTTGGTTTGACTTTGCTGTCAAACAAGTAATTCCTAATTTCACACATCATTAGGCTGACTTTAAAAGAAGTCCTTGAACGCTATCTCTGAATATGTGTATTTTTTACATAGCCTCTATTTCCAACTTTAAGATGGCTTATAGGTTCAGCTACTCAAACGTATAACCCTCCTCTGTATTTCCTAAGCCGATAGAACTGCCTGTGTGGCTGACAGTCACTACTGGCAGCATTTCAGATCCTCGCTGCGTCCATGGCAACACGCAGTTAGCGCCACGTAGGCTGTCAGGAAAAGGGGGTACGGTTTAGTTTGGATTGCGACTTCGTTAAGATGCCTGACCACTTCCCAACATGCAAAAATCTTCGTTCCCGCTTCCTGTTACTGATTCCAGCCGCGGAGCCGACGCGCAGGCGGCTCACGCCACGAGGAAGGCGGGCAGGGGCGGGGAAGCGGGCCGGCCGGAGCTCCGAGGGCGGGCCGTGGGCAACCGGGGCCGGCGGCACCTGGCTGTCCGACTCACCCTGCTTCTCCAGGACCTCCTCGGCGGGCAGCACGGTCGCTACCTCCTTGACCTCCTCCATGACGACGTCCGCGCCAGTCCGCAGGATGCTTTTCAGTCTCTCCAGCTCCTTGGGAGCGTTCTTCTTCCTCTTCTCCGCCCGCATCTTCCTCTTCCATTTGCTCCTCAGGCTCTTGGCCATGTCCTGAAGGAGGAAAGAAGCGGGGAGCGGTAAGGCTGACGCCGCGAGGACGCCGCTAAAGCCCCAAGGCCCACGGCTCGCCTCAGCCCCGCGCCAGCACCACGCTCTGCCCCTCGCGGCGCTGCTCTCGCCGTCTGCGCAGGCGCTGAGGAGAGTCACGTGACGCGGAAGTCCCGCCTCTTCGCGGGTTCTACCGTAAGTCTGCGAGTGCGGTGGCAACGAGAAACCCACGGGCGCAAGGAGAATAGTCGGGATTTTATTTGGGCTACTTCTACACATTTCTTAATCTGTAAGACAGAAAAATCATCCCGCTCGCCCGTTATAGCTATACTTAGCAATATTTTAACAAAGTGCCAGCATGGAAAGCACCCGCTGTCCTTGCTGCTGGTAGGAAATGGAATGCTTCTTAGGCGTCTGGGAATCTTTCTGCCAGCACCTCACGGGATTCCAATGCTTCGACACTGAGCAAGAAGTAAGAGAAGACTTCAAAGCTGTTACGCTGCCAGCTGCTCCAGGGCTCCAGCAGCTCTGTATAGCGCCCACGTGCTGCTGCCTCACCCCAGCTGCAAGAAGTGGCCCAGCAGTGGGAATTACATCTTCCATCCATGCTTGGCTGCAAAAATTGACAGAAGATTTTCTAATTTTTTTATTGAGAGACCATTAACCTTAGCATACACAAGAATCCATCTTCAAATGATTTTCCAAAACACTGAAAGATAGGCAATAAATCATCCTTAATGAATGCAGAACATTCCCATGAAGCGACCTCATAATCTCCCAGCTCATATAAGGGCTCAATGTTGAGAACAGAACTTCCCTTTCACAGACAGCATCCCATTTTACCAAACCAAGACCAGAAGAAATTTTAACTTAGTAAAACACTGCACAAACATCACTTCCGTCTGCCTTTATGCTGCTTACTCTGCCAATCACAGAGGAAATATTTCCAGCAGCTACTGAGTTACAGTCAGAGACTTTCCGAGCATGCTCTGGAGCAATCAGAAATTGGCAAACATTTTAATCATGAATTACATCAAGTGCAAATTAAGTAAATAAAAAATGGAGTGTAATTAATTGGATACACGACATCAACTAAACAAAATACATATTCTAGAGAAGAACTTAGACTGAGAGCTTCCCCCTCACCTCAAAGGAGGGATGAGTACCCATGTAATGAAAGAGAAATAAAGATTCAGTCTCTAAAAGATGAGAGCACACAGTTTGTAGATCATCCAAGCCAACACTATTCAGGTTCTTCAATCACATCCCTGTTTATTACTTTTTATTAAATGCCTCCAGTAAGCGTAGCAGGTTGAGGAACAGATTGATGATGTCCAGGTAAAGGTTGATTGCAGCCAGTATGTATTCTTCAGGGGATAACTTGTGCATCAGCAAGTGAGTATCATAAATAATAAATCCACAGAAGAGAAGCGCTCCAGAAGCAGCAAACACCAGCTCCATTATTTCACTATGGAAGAACAGCTGAAGACAAACGAAGCATGAAAAAAAAAGAAAGTAAATTTCATTTTCTTCTTAATATTAAAATTTCGCATTGAGATATGCCACACTTGAAACATAGATACATACTGTCCTTTCACTGCTATGCACACACACAAATAGTGTAGTAAAATGACATTTCAATATTCTTATGTCACATAGTTCCCAGTCATACAGTCTCTTTAACTAAGTGAAAAGTGTCTTAAGAGAAACCAAACTCTGTTCTCCAGAATAGTAACAACAAAAGACAAATAAAAAAAAATAATCTGATTTAGACTCAACTCTCCTTCCCCTTTCCTCAGAGCAGTAGTGCATCTCAACTGACAACGCTGTCAATCAGCTCAACCACCACTTTAATATCAGCGAGACCAGCATCCACCAAAAATATGAATTGGAAATGAATAGTTAAAAGATTACCAGCATAATATACAACAGCAATGGACTTACCTGGGAAATTTTTACAAGAAAATATTTTTAAAATATTTAGTTATAGTAGAAGTTAGTACAGGATTTAAGTGAAATAATATTTTTAACTTTGATCAGAAGGTATCTTACCATCAAGAAACATGAGAAGATTAAAATCCACAAGCAAGCAAAGAGCCTGAAAAAAAAAATAATATCTGTGAGCAATAACAATATCTTTTGTTTTAAATTTTATTTAAAGTCTCTTCTAGTAATTAAAAGGATAAGTAAGAGGGAAATCAACTTTTTACACGGGTAGGTAGCGACAGAGCAAGGGGGGGGATGGTTTAAAACTAAAAAAACAGGGAGATTTAGATTAGATGTTAGGGGGAAATTTTTCACTTAGAGAGTGGTTGAGGCACTGGCACAGGCTGCCCAGAGGAGCTGTGGTGCCCCATCACTGGAGGTGCTCAAGGACAGGCTGGATGGGGCCCTGGGCAGCCTGAGCTGGTGGGGGGCAGCCTGTCCACTGTAGGGAGTTGGAACTGGGTCCCTTCCAACTCAAGTGCTATTCTATGACTCTCCTCCCATAAAACCAACCTTACAATATATTTGGTAAATGTCCAAAATTCTTAGATGCCAACTGTTCATTGGCATTAGCTGTAGAACTCTGTTTTATAGAGCTCTCAAAAATTATCTCCTAAATGTACTGTTAAATTTGAAACAGCTCCATTCTGTATTGGTGAAAAATACAGCTAATCTGGTTTTCTAGTGTAAATATTATGGTTACAAGAATCATAATAATTGTAAGTGTGCTACACTAAAAAAAAATAATTATTCAAAAGAACAGAGCCAAATAAAACTAATAAATTAAGATGATTAACACCCTCACCATTCTCTTTCACAGGTTAGCTACTGACCTGTATTGTTTACTAAATCTGCAAAGCTTGCTTTAAAAAGGAAAAAAAACCAAGCTTAATAAAAAAATAAAAATCTCATTGCTAAGATAACATACCCTGCTCCAAATTTGCTGAAGTCTCTCTTTGACTGCAAGGTGTACACAGTCAGCCCAAGAAATACAGCGGTCGTAAGAATGAAGGCTTGCAAGACGATGGACACGTCATAGAAACTCACTATAAACAAAAAAAGCAAGCTGTCATTTAGAGAACACTACCCTATGCATTTGCTAAGTTATCTCAGCAGTGGAGAAACTACTGAATTATTTTTTTTCATCCTGTGATTGTTTGCATTTCTGCGAGCAGGAAGTGTAAATTATGCCTCAACTTGGTTTACTGCTTCAGGTGACCACATGATTCACAGACCCTTGCACTAGTTATGACATTTATAGCATAGCTGTAGCTTCTTAAATAAAGATAACAGATCTTCTGTACTCACAAAAGAAAGGGTAACAGAAATTATTTTGTGTACTGCAGGGTGACATCTTAAGTAAAAGGCTAGCTGAATTTTTCATTGTATTCAAACAAACAAATTACAAAACAGTCCTCCAAAAAAACTCCTAAGCATTATGACAAGGAAGTAAGAGGGAAAAGATAAGAAGTGGTTGGAGCTTTTTTCTTCCTGCCTTCCTTTTTTTAAGTACATTTCCACTAATGATATTCTTATTTTTGCCACTAGCAAGTCAGCTCTGCTGAAAGATGCTTTATAGGGAAGCACTGCTAGTTATTCCAAAAGAATGGATGGAAGTTTATTCAAGTTCATACAGCTTCAGTCCTGGGCCAGAACCCAAATTTCCTATTCTGATATACCCGGGTTTTTACTAGATTCATATCATCATCATCTAAAATTTTTAATCATCTTAATATCTCACTGAGGAATCTCACATGACAATTAGTATAATATAATGGATTCCTTTCCCAGTTTATTTAAGGAATCAGAGAACAGGTTGGCTATCATTTACCTGTAATGGCAACTGTAAGTGCTTCCAGGAGGGTCTACAAAAAGTAAAAACAAAAAATTACATGAGTAAAATAAAACACCACCACCACTTGCATGGAGACTTCACACACACTAAGATCTATTCTGCTACACAATCCCAGTATGTATAACATAGATCTCCTGATAATTTCTATACATGATAACATGCTTCATTTTCAACAAGGAAATGACAACTGTATCGTCTTACTATTCTGGATGTTGCTATGATATGTAACAAGAATGAAATATAAACTGAAAATGAACGCGTGACAACAATTGTGGAAAACTGCCATACAGGTTTTCTATTCAGAGCACACAGCATTCTTACCACAATCCTTACAATCTGTTCAAGGGGGCCTGAAGATTTCTCAGAACTGCTATTAGAAATGAACTGCTGCCATCTTTCTGTATACTTTTCAATATTCAAAATACTTCCATCAAACACTCTCAGTATCTTACTTCACAGCTTAGTGTCAAGTTCTTCCCCTCCTCACTCATCAAGCTAACTTAAAATCAAACATATTAGTGATGCCTGGACCAAAGACTGCCATGACTCCTGAATCTTCCTAAAAGGTAATTTCAGTTTAAGTTTCATTACAAGAAAATAGGAGAAAGTATCTGTGGCATGAACTAAGAGATCAGAAACAACAGCACATTTCACTCAATTTATCACATGCAATTTTTAATCTTCCTGTCCCTGTACAATGTCGTGCTTCAACTGCCATGCCACAAACTGCCACACCACATTTCCTGAAACTCTTACAGCACTCCCTCTTACAGTTGCAACCATTTAAAGTTGTTTTTTCTTTTTAAATAATAAAACAATAATTTTTTTAAAAATTACTCTCTGGAAAGAGATCAGACTTCAGGAAGAACACAAACCTGATATAACTAATCCCCCTATAAACTTACACAGAAAATCTATCTTCCCATTGTATGCAGATGAAATATAGGCAGCCTCTAAAGCATCAAATTCTGGTGATGGTGCTGCTGTGACTTCTTTTCAGCAGACTGATTTGCTCCACAATCCAAGATGTTCAGGAGCAACAGTTAGCCCACGCCTACCATCTGCAGGCAGGAGACTGAAATCTGAGGATAGCTTTGCTTGACTTGCTTGTGTTGGTTAAGAATTAAGCATTAACACATACAGCTGGCTTATATGGTCCTCTGCTGAAGGCTGCCCATTAAGCAAATAAGGCAAGCTTTCTTCTTTACTACTGAGCAGTGTCTTAGAAACCAATATGATCAGAACAGTGAGGGTAGCAAGATAAATACAGATATATAAACAGGAACACACATAGACAAAAATAAATCTTGTCCATCTGATTTCAAACCCTTACTCTG